TCATCTGATAACATCTGTACGAGGGCAATTACTGTCAAAAATATATCTGCTGCTGTTCAAAGAGCACACAAGGAAAATTCCAAAACTTTGTAAAAAATTTCCCTGCAAGCAAGACCCATGGTTCACTCTCTCCACAGAAGGCCAGAGTAATCTAGAAGTCATCAGACACTTAGCCTAGGTTCACACTAGTGCTGCTGCACGATTATGCATTTTTCAGTACATATTTGTAACGCGTTTAAGCATCTTTTCAGTGCACTTTGGATGCTTTTCTATTGGCCAATGATAATCAGTACTCTGCTGTGACATCATTAGGTGTTGCCTTTCTTTTGAGGAGGCTTTAAGCACAAAAAAAAATGACAAAAACGTTTCAAAAATGCATGTGCGCCTGTTTTTCATAAGCATAAATTGAAGCCTAGGGGACCACAAATGCATGTGCAGCACCAAAAGAAGCACCAGCACCTTTTCAATTTCAATGACTTTATTAGTTTTTGAGTCAAGACGTTTACAGAAAGAAAGAAAAAAGGAGAAAGCGCACTACCTGGGAGTCCACAGTGGCTGGAAGGGGTCACTTGGGCTAGGGTGCAGTGTGCAAGCTCTTTGCAAACAGGAAGAGGTACCCTGTGATAACAAGAAAAAAAACAACCTATGTATTAAGAGCGCTACTACTGTTGGTATAAGGTTAATGAAGAAACTCACATTTGAGAAGTCCTTGGGGATTCTCCGGGGGTGAAGGGATGGAGTCCTTGGGGAAGTGAGGCACGGTGAAATGCAGTGGTATGAACGGCTGCAAGGATTCGTTTAAGGAGAAGAAGCAGCTATCTCACGGCGGGGCTCAGCTGGCCAGGCTGAGCCGTAGCGGCCAGAAGTGCTCTGTAGGAGGATACTGTGTGACACGTGCTGTCAGCGGTCGTCTCTTAGTCGGCGGGTATAGGAGACCTAGCCGTGATGTTACAGAGAGTGTGCTCTCCTCTCCGAGTGTCACAGTGGGGGGCTGTAAGACAGTTTCCAGTGGTGTGTGGGGGTAGATCGCTACGCGTTTCAAGGCTCAAGCCTCTTTGTCAAGCTCGGGTGAAGGACGGAATTGCGGGAGAATCATGGTTTTTTTAAAAGTGACAGCTGGGCGGGGCCAGCTTCGGTAGCGCTGTCCTGATAGGTGGAGTGGTTTAGTGGGGCGGGACGAGTATAAGAGAACGCCCCATAAGTATAACGAGCAGCGCTTCGCTTGTTTTCTGCAGTTTGCATCTCACATTCGTTCTGTCATGCAGGATGTGGTGGGTTTAAAGGAATCCCATTCGTTCTGTCATGCAGGATGTGGTGGGTTTAAAGGAATCCTTTAAACCCACCACATCCTGCATGACAGAACGAATGTGAGATGCAAACTGCAGAAAACAAGCGAAGCGCTGCTCGTTATACTTATGGGGCGTTCTCTTATACTCGTCCCGCCCCACTAAACCACTCCACCTATCAGGACAGCGCTACCGAAGCTGGCCCCGCCCAGCTGTCACTTTTAAAAAAACCATGATTCTCCCGCAATTCCGTCCTTCACCCGAGCTTGACAAAGAGGCTTGAGCCTTGAAACGCGTAGCGATCTACCCCCACACACCACTGGAAACTGTCTCACAGCCCCCCACTGTGACACTCGGAGAGGAGAGCACACTCTCTGTAACATCACGGCTAGGTCTCCTATACCCGCCAACTAAGAGACGACCGCTGACAGCACGTGTCACACAGTATCCTCCTACAGAGCACTTCTGGCCGCTACGGCTCAGCCTGGCCAGCTGAGCCCCGCCGTGAGATAGCTGCTTCTTCTCCTTAAACGAATCCTTGCAGCCGTTCATACCACTGCATTTCACCGTGCCTCACTTCCCCAAGGACTCCATCCCTTCACCCCCGGAGAATCCCCAAGGACTTCTCAAATGTGAGTTTCTTCATTAACCTTATACCAACAGTAGTAGCGCTCTTAATACATAGGTTGTTTTTGACGTTTACAGAAAGGTCACCCACGCAGGGGAACAATAAAATCCAAAATAGCATCAGTACCTTTTTAAAAATCGCTCTGCACCATGTTGCATTGATGCAAACAGACACCATTAGCCACTGTTCAATGAGCTATGCTGCAATAGAACACTATGGTAGGCTGCCTACCACAGCTAAAAGGCACTAAAAGAAGTGTGTGCACCTTTCTTCTTTAACCACTTGAAGACCGGGGTGTTACACCCCCTTCCTGTCCAGGACATTTTTCAGTATTCAGTGCTGCAGTACTTTGACTGACGTTTATTCAGTCATGCAACGCTGTACTGAAACAAATGTTATACCATTTTTGGGGGGACAGATAGAGCTTTCTTTTAGTGGTATTTAATCACCACTGCGGTTTTTATTTTTTACTATATAACAAAAAAGTACCCGAAATTCTGAAAAAAAAAAACCCTGTTTCCCTATGAAATGTTATGAAACTTTATCACCCCATTTTTTTGGTACAATATAAAAGACGGGGTCACGTCGGGTAAATAGACACCAAACATGTCAAGCTTTAAAATTGTGTGCGCCCGCGAAAATCGCATTAAAATAGCATACCCAAAATTGGCCATAGGCGGCGCTTTAAAAGCTTTTACCGCTCATCAGTTTAGAGTGATCAGTGAAAAATGGCCCTAAAATCATTGCCCTCACTCGGACGTCCACAGTGATATGCAACAAGTGCAGCGTAATGGGCGCAATTGTCTTTTTCACACAACACATGTTGCGGCGTGTGTATCTGGGGCTGAGAACTTTTTTTAAAAAATTGGTTTTTTTTAATTCTTTATGTGCGACACTAATTTTTTTTCTTTGGAACTTTAATTTTCTTTTAATTATTATTACTTAAAGGAGAACTATGGGGTTAAGTCTTTTCCCCATAGTTCTCCTTAGGGTAACGGGAGGACACAAACTAGCGTCCTGCCGTCACCCTAGGCTCAGTATACCGCAAGCTGTAGCTCGCAGTATACTGAGACGCCGCAGTATACCGCGAGCAGCTGCTCGCGGTATACTGAGACCCCGCAGCTAAAGCGGATCCCGACAATTGTGCCGGGATCCGCCCAGCTGCGTGACTGACAGCTGGCTCTGCCTATCTAAAGCCACCCGTTAGCTCTATAGCCGGCGGATCGCTTGTATGTAAACAGGCAACGCTGCCTGTTTTTAAATTTTGAAGGTTTCCTGCTCACACGCGCCATGCACGAGTGGACAGGCCTAACAGGCCGTCTTTAGATGGCCTGTTACATCCAAGAAGCTGCTGGCCGGCCATTTAATTACAATGGCAGGCCGGGAAGCGGTTAATTTGCATTGCACCACAAAACATGATAACTAGGGATGCACCGATACTAGTATCAGCGCCGATACCAAGGTCGAGTACTCGTACTTGCCCAAATGCTCCAATACTTACCTCTGATACTGGGACTCCCGGTCAAAGGGAGATCTCCATCTGACTGGCTTGTGCCAAAGGAGCATGGAGCCAGCTTTCTTTCCGATCAGGAGTCCAGGCAGCACGTCATGACCCACCTCCCAGCTTTCTGATTGATCAGGAAGCCAGGCTGCCTAGCAACAAGTGAAGCCGGCTTCCTAGTCAATCACAAAGCCAGAAGGCTGGTCATGAAGTGTCGCCAGAAGGTGGCTTCATTTGTTGCTAGGCAGCTTGGCTTCCTGACCAATCAGGAAGCCAGACGGCACCTCATGACCTGCCGCCAGGCTTCCTGATTAATCAGGAAGCCAGGCAGCCTTGGAAAATGAACCAGGTGTTTTGATAGAACACCAGCTTCCCAGGCAATCAGGAAGCCGGGCTGGGGGTCATGATCCTCCGTCTGGCTTCTTGATAATCGGGGCACACGGCACCAGTACCGGCGAGTGCCGGACAATAAAATATCAATTTACGATACCGAAAAAACGATATCGGTGCATCCCTAATGATTATAGGTTACCATGTGATGTGGTGTGATACAACACACAATCAACAGCTAAGTGCTTTGGGGTGCCACTAAGAAATAATGGCACCGCAGCACACCTATCAATGCAACATGCGATGCTGAACCATGCAGTGCAGTGCGACAGCATACGGAGGACATATCGCACAAGTGTGAATGAGGCAGTAGCGGCTGAATCAGAAATCGTTCGCAAAATTCTGCACTGTGTAAACAAGTCACAGTGCTGAATGGCCACTAGATGGAATCATGAAGCTTAGGAATTTCGATGTGTCAGTGGTTTATAAATCAGCTCCTTAAAGTGTATCTAATCCCCAAAACAAAAAAACTAGGGCTGGTAATGATTAAAATGTTCATGTCTTCGATTAATCGAAATGTTTTTTAATCGATTAATTTCAATTAATCATAACGCACATACAGATCCAACTACATTGGCCTACACACATACAGCACAGCAATGAAGTAATAAAATGAACTAGGATCACACTAATCTAGCACGTTATTAATCTCACGTGCCCCACTCAATATGGCCGCCGCTTGAGTGGGGCAACTCAGAATAATAACGTGCTGGATTAGTGTGATCCTAGTTCATTTTATTACTTTATTGCTGTGCTGTATGTGTATAGGCCAATGCCTTTGCTGGCGCTCATGCAGAACAAGTACTCACCGGCCCAAGTGGCCGGTGAGTACTTGTTCTTCAAGCTTACTAGTCAGATTTAGTGGCTGCATTTGTTTTTTCTATTTGTTTTCACCAAGTGATCCTGTGAATAGCACACACTTCCTGTCCCTGAGTGGCTATGCTCACTCCTCCACTGTACCTATGGAGGGTGCGATGGTTGTTAGCCATGATTTGGACTACAAACAGGTCTTCCTCTCTTCGTCCCTATTAGATGCAAGAGACTTGTAGTTTTCAGATAACAGTTTGAAGGGAAGGTAATATTGTTTATGCTTTCAGTTCCACTCACAGAAAGGTGACAAGGACACAGCATTTCTGGCAGGAATAACAAGTTATTTCTGTACTTGCTAAAAATGTTATTTTCGAGTAATCTTCGGAACTCGCCGTCACCATGCTCGTGTGTCGGAGCGCCTGGCAGAGACTGGTCCCCCTCACCCAACGGGCTGCCGTCTCCCTCCTGCGCAATGCACCTGTTCGTCAGATGTCAGCCAGCAGTGTGCCAGGCTCCTCTGGTGAAGCTCTGCCTTATTACCTGCTTGTTGGTGTAACTATGCTTGGTGGAGTAGTATATGCGTACCGCACTGTGTGCAATGATAGAGCCCGTTCTTACGAACACCATGAATACGTTGAAACACAACTGAAACCCCAGTTACAGAATATTAAAGATGACAAATAAAGTCCAAGGGGATATCTACCTATAACAACCAAAAAGGGACAGTCCATCATGCCGTGCAGCCTAACTAGTGATGATTTTAAGTCGCACGTCAGTCCCTTTAAATTAATTTTGTTGTTGTTGAAATAATTAAGAGTTCTTTCTGTTATTTAGCTAACCCCCTTTTGAAATGCGTGGGGTCAGATTTGGTTCTGATTGTGGTAAAAACATTTGTGGAATCTGTGGAATTAAACTGATCCATAAGGCTGATTGCTCTTATTACCTGTGTGTACATGACTGTCCAATAAAGAGACCACTCTGAATGTTAAAAAATTTTAATGAAATGTTATTTTCCTTAAAACTAATGCAGCCACCACATCTAAGAACTGGCACGCTGCACCCTGTAAGAGATTCACTTACTTTGTCCTGGTGGACTGAAATCAAAGGAAAATCCAACATTTTGTCACCAGAACAGGAACAGATGTTAAATGTTTAAATGGGAACACGTTTTCCAGCAAGAGTTGTCTAAGAGGGGATTTCTCTTATTATTAGGATTGACTTCTTGTTGTGTTTCCAGGACTGAAAGTAAAGGGAAATCTCCCAATAGAACACAGATGGAAAAAAAATCCTCCTCTATCCCAAACGGAAATCAAGTTTTGGCTTTCTATATTCTTGGAACTCGTGGAACACAGGTCAGACTTGTTACTCATTTGAACTATTATTCTGATATTGAACGATCCATTCTCAAGGTTTTACAGAAAAGCAGTAGAATTTGGAGCTTACCATTGTTTGTTTATTTATTTAGAGTGAAAACACATCTCTTTTTTGTCTGCTGTTGTATAAACAGAAGTGTTACATCATCTTGAAGCAGAAGCAAAGCAGAGCTGGCTGTGATCATTGGTAGAGTACCAGAGCTCTCTGCTGGTGACAAAGTAGGAAAGCAGTCTGGAAAGTATTTTCCCCAAGGGCAGAAGCATGAAGATCGCATACGGTAGTAGAAAGACAGGTCCTCCCCCTCGCAAGTCTTACATTTCCATACAACTGCCATTGTAATTCTACATATGTGTATTCATGAATATTCATCAAATCAGTCCATACCAAAGTGCAGTTCAGGCCCTTTTCAGATGGCCGGTCCGATCAGGTCTGTCTGACATCTGCTTACCCCAACTCTGGCCAGGTCCAGAAAACAAACCAAAAACAATTTTGGTGGTCCTGATCATGACCATTCGGGGATAATCTGATGTCCACCTACATCCGACTCCCCATAAACCCAACATGGATTTAACTCAGTTTTGGATGGACGTGGCTGTCACAAAGGTGACATCTGTTCCATACTGCTCTGATCAGGAGAGGATCTGTACACAAATCCCCTGCGGATCAGAACTTACAGTCGACCATATAAAAAGGGGTCTTACACAGACATTTTGAACAATAGCGGGATTGAAACACCCAGAGGCCTCCCATAACTTACACCGCACCTCTATACTAGTAGTCATCAGAAGGTGTCACTAGATAAGCAGCAATAACACAGAACCATGGGGAAGAAAAGAAACTGCACAGGGCATAAGCAATGAAGGCAGCCTCACTGACAGGTTCTGCAACTGTAAGATATTTATTACTTAAAAGTCATTGTCTGAAAACTGTAGGAAGTGTCTGCCAATGTCATTCGTTTGACTGCACTAAAATGGCTGCTGAGAGTACGCTACTCATAGACGCAAGACGGTCCTTGGCAAACAACAGTAACATTCTCACAAAATACGTGCGACAGTGCCAGATAATGTTAAACTGTTTCAGGCACAGGAAATGCACATGCGCAATGTGCGCAATCACTCCATTTAAAATGCAAAAACATATGTGAAAAAGATTATCGAACTGAAAAGCTGACAAATTCATGCTCTGCAAAATAATTTCCTGGCTGTGCAAGCAAACTGGCCACGCATTACAATCTGATCGCATAATCTCTGTACAATCTCCTACAGGCTTCCCAACAATTATGTAGGGAGGGCCTACATTCAAAATCCATTCCATTTATATTCAGTCAAGTAGGTTCTTGTACTATATAGCCGTCTACATATTGAATGTGTGAGGTCAGCACAAATTTACATTTTCCTAATGCTGAACTCCAGAAAACAGCTGCATACATAGTTCGCATACACATACAGACGTGGAGAAATTTCCCCTTACAGCTCACATTCCTCCTGAAAAGTGATAAAGCTAATAGCAATTGTCTCATGTATACCTGCCTGCCTTTGGTATGTTAAGGTAAAGCAAAGAAAGTGTGACAAGAGGTAAGGTATTGCCTACTGTACAAACATTCTAAAATGGCCTGGACAGATTTGCTGGTCCAAAAACAATTGTCTTCTGTGCAGAAAACCGCAGGTCACCGCTATAGTGTGAACAGGACCTAAGTTAAAAGAAAAATAAAGTCAAACCTTTTTTTTGGCTATAGTCCTCTTTTGGGTCACAGAAGTGCATTTACCAATGTCCTCCTGTAACCCAAAGTCAGCATCTAGCGGGCTAATATATTCTATATGCTGACAGAGCTGAGCTGAGCAGAGCCGCACTGCAGCCAGGAAAGATCCCAACAATATTGTCGGGATCCACCCGCTGCCTGATTGACAGCTGGATCCGCCTCTCTTGATCTAGAGCCAGCTGTGCCCGCCCCCTCTCCTGTCTGTCCCTCCAGTGAACACTGGAGAAGTCCCTGTAGGAAGTACTGACTGACAATTAGCGTTCTCTGCAGGGTGAAGCCCTGAGTTGAGCAATCAGCAGTTTGTGATCATTCAGCTCTCAATCTACAGAGCTGACATGTGACAGCTGCAGTGTCACACACCGGCTCAAACTATTGGGAGGAGTACATTTTTACTGTCCCAATACTTAAGAAATGCAGTGATGTCACCTGCCTGTAGCCTGCTGATTAGACAATAAAGGAGCAGCAACACACTGTTAAACTGTATCTAAACCCAACAACAAAAATGTATTACATTGCAATGTACCAGTCCTTAGACATGGTGGATGCAATCATTTGCTTTACTTTATTTCCATCCAATGATCCTGCCAGTAACACACTTGCTGTCACTGTCACTCTAGGACAGGAAGTGTGTTAACACTACACTACACCACCTCCACTCCTCATTTCTACAACAATAGGGAGCTATATGGCAAAAAAATTTGAACAATGCTAATTGATAAGAGTCACAGACTGAAAGCACAGAAATGTATCAGCTCACTACATTTCTGGCAGAACCACTTATCAAACCGATGTAACAAAATTATTGCAATGTTATATTTAACAACCCAAAAAGAACAAATAAGAGAAGATCTTTGTTGGGGCTTAGATACAAATTGAGGGTCATTTATAATCGGCTACATTTAGTGGCCATATTGTGCTGCAAATCTCTTGTACGCATAGCTGTTCACTTTAGAAACGGTTTATAAATCATCCCCATTAAGTCATCAGACCCGCTCACTCAGCATTTCCTGTCCATATATGGGACTACATTATTTTGATGGGCAACACATATGCCTGCTGTTTTGTTACACTGCAGCTAAATAATATGATTTGGATTTTATGATCACTTTTATTAAAGAGCAAATAATATTTTTGGCAAGTTGACAAGATTTTTATTTTATATATAGATATATGTATATATCTATATAGATATATATCTATATAGATATATACATATATCTATATATACACACAAATATCAATCATTCTATGAACGGACTACATTAGTGAATACATAAATTAGGGCTTAACTGTCAAAAACAATGTCCTCTAGCAGTAAACTTGAGAGTAGTCAGTTACAAGTGATTAAAAGAATGCCTGCATATGATTTTATTTTTTCATAGATATATCTGGAACACCAAAATTATCGCACTACAAACAATTGAGTTGAAACATGTGTTGGCCCATACAGGAGATTATACAATTGGACTGGAATCAGTCCATTCGAAAATGAGGGTTTTTTCTCCCCCAACAGTTTTTTCATTGAACAATTACAATTTTTGTTAATTCTGGAAATTAGGTAAATATGCGCCAAATTGTATATCAATTTTGTAGTCTGTTCTAACAAATAATGCATGTTTTGAGAATGCAGGTTTGGAATAGGATTACATATATCTACAGCTTTAAATAGGAGAGGGGGGGGGGGGGGGGCGAGGAAAAAAACAAAAAATT